ACCTAAACCTTGCTTGTTTTCTTGCCTGAGCGATTCACCAAAAAACAGATTCCTGTTTTAACCCTAAAATGACCTGGTGGTTTCCAGTGGGTAGAACTCAGCCGTGACTTTGGATTTAAAGAACTGACACGATTATCTTCCCAAGAACTTTTACAACATACCTGAAATATTCATTACTAAAACATTAGTTTCCTAATCCTTTTGATTATAATAACCTAACGTGTATTCATATGAGTTAGACACTAACTAGTACTTGTTAATATAAAACTACAAATTAAGCTGGTTCAAGTCATGTTAATTTTAACTAAATGGTATTCTACTAACTAAATTACAACAATAGTATTGTGTTGTTAGTTTTGTTTGTCTAAGTTTTAGTGTTGCTCTGAGGGAGATGACTTGAGGTGTCTCCTCGCTGCCTGTGTGCCAAAGTTAATTTATTAGGTTCCTCCCTGATAACAGACATTCTTTTCTGCAGGCCCTCTAAGATTTCATCCAAAGGACTCTTACTGAAGCCACTATTTTCACATGTCGTAAGATTTAACTGTATTAAACACAAAGAATATTTATTTTCCTCAACACTAACATCACTGAATGCATTTGCATCATTTTTCCCCAAGACAAAAACAAGCCAAATAATTACATCCAAAACATGCAGAACAGTTTTATTCTCTAAGAGGCAGCTAAAAGCTAGCATACAGCGCTAACAGAAGCTACTAGCACCAATGCTACTAGCAAAGCAATGGCAGGACATCAATATCAAAACATAAAATTCATGTCTAAAATAAGCTTTGTTGTCATTTTAGTGTTATTTAGAGGTAATTTCTGTAGAGAAGGAACTTTTCTGGCCCTCAATCAGAAAAGTCTTCCTGAAAATCCCTCCATAGTGGCAGAGGATGCTGAAGGACTCTGCTCCCAACAAACGGACTTTCCCCTCTGATGTGGGAACATTACTGAGAAAATAGAGAGGAACCAGACACTTTGAAGAGTTTCTGATGAGTAGTGATGTAAGGAATTGTGTGGGTTAATACACGCTAGAACCAAACATTTTGACTTGTTTACCTGCAACTTCAGCAAAACTGAACTTGGACTACAAAATCACTGTCAGGAAAAAATGGTGGATTCACAAAAGTGATGAAAGTCATGACCTTGTTCAGCAGTTCCACAGCAAATGTGGGGACGTCACAATCGAGACAATATTATAATGAAAATAACGAGAGTAAAAAATAAAACCCAAAACGAATATAAAGATATCTATGCAGCACCAGGAGAGAATTAATTTTAATATTTTGCACTCCGAGACACTCAGGATGGGCTGCACAGTGGTGCAGTTGGTAGAGCTGTTGCCTTGCAGCGAGAAGGTTCTGGGTTTGATTCCCGGTTTTTCTGCATGGAGTTTGCATGTTTTCCCTTAAGAACTAAAAAAGTAGATTTTGAATAATATGTCTCCTTTATAGTTACTTTGCACAGCATTTAATGGCCATTTCAGAAAGAGTTTAATATTAAAGTTTTGGTGTTAAATTATCTCCATAGTGCCTCCAGTTCTGTCTACCAGTCTGAGCTTCGATGTGTCCTTGTGAGGGTTGGAAACAGTGAGTCATTTCTTTCTTTTTGATCATTGATTTATCTTACTTTTTATTTCCTGAACTCATGTTTCTGTTGTTATCCCAGTACCTTCTATAGCAACTCCAAGTCCTCCTCCCAAAACATGTAAGTCAGATGGAAACAGGACTGAAAGTAACAGGAAGTAGTTCTTTCTACCATGTTGATCTCTTGTTCTTCCAGCTCGTCTTACGGTTGTGAAGCTGAAGATCTCGACTACGCTGCCACTGAAAGACAAGGATGAAATCGAGAAGGCGGTCAGTAAAGTCCTGGACTTTAACACAAACCTTCACAACCTGAGTTTAAACCAAACTAATTTATCCCAAATGTCATTTCACCTAAATTAACTGTTAAAGTAAGAAACTATCAACTTCCACCCAATTCTTCTTCCTACAAACATAAATCAGCTTAAAAAACTGTTAAAAAATGAAATATGGTGTATAGGATGGACCTATTTTTGATATTAAAAATGTGTAAATTATTGTACATTTAAGGATGAGAATGTGAGATTTAAATATCAATCAATGTGGGAATAATTTAAGAGTTTACCTCTGGTGGGGAAATTTAAATGTTTGTAGGTTGATGAATATCAGACGGACAGGAAGTCATGAGATCTTCTACCTGCTCCTTTTAAAACTAATTATATAAAATTGCATGTCAATCAGCATAATTTGTTTTATTGTTTTTTCCAATTTTTAATTATAAGATTTTAAATGACTGTATCTAACATAGATTTCATGTTTTCTTCTGCAGATTAAAGGTAAACTGGTTGCAGGAAAGCTTCCTGCAGACATAAAGGTCCGTCTGCTCAGAGTCGGCCCAGCTAATAAAACGGCCGCCCCCTAGTGGCCAAATGGGAGAATGAATCTAATCTCTGCAGGAAATGTGATTTAATCTGTTTTTACTTGTATATTTTAGTTACTTCAGGGACTTTTGGTTGTTTTCAGTAAATTTAGTCTGTGTTAATAGATTTTCTTTTTATAAAATAGGGAAACTTTCACAAATTGTATATTGATAGATTATCAATATAAAGTAAACCAATGTAAATAAGGTCAATATTTATATTTACTGAGGGATTACTACTCTGTGTTCATGTGTATCATTTGTATCTCTGGGATTTTTATTCAGCTTAATATTTTAAATGCACTGTAAAACATTTGAGCCATATTGAGTTGTGTCTACTATCTTCACTCTTTAAGTCAAATAAATTCAGCCAGTTTTAGATTTTGAACCTAAATGTGAGTTTGTGGAAGAAGTAAGTTGTGTTAACTTTGTATTTATTTTGTCATAGAGTTGAATAAACTGAGTTTTTAGATTAGCAATTAAAAACCTGAAAGAAGAACAAGACAGGAGAAGGAACTATTTCCCAGAATGCTTAGCGGCATGTTTCTGTATCCTGACATGGAAGTGCGCTACGTTGATCTGACTCTTGTGTTTTATGAACCCAAATTGAAACTGAAAACACCTTGAGTGGTTCGGCCCAGTCCACATGTTCTGATCAAAGCCGTTCCAAAGATTTGACCTTTAAGCAGGAAGTGCATCCAGAACTGAATCTGGTTGGACCCGTTTGTTTTTTTCTTCAGGGCATCGACTCTAAAATTTGATCTTATCTGTTGTTTCACAAACTGATGAACTCAAGACAGATTAGTGAAAAATAATTAGAAGGTAAAACTACAAATAACAAAATTAGTCAGATTAAATGTTGAGTGGACCGTTTGCTTGTGAGGAAGTTGTAATTTGGACGTCTTTTAATTTGCTGCAATATTTTTTTTACTAAAACAATCAGACAACACTTTTTATTTTCTGTTTTATATTTGTTTTCACCATTTTTTGAATAAAAATAATCCGATTACTTGATATAGTGGTTTCTCTTTATGCTTTTCTTTTAACATGTCTTTCTTTATCCTTACACAAAGTTTACTGTGTGTTTTATGACTTTGTATTTCTGTGTTTTGCTCTTTGAACTGCCTTGTTGCTGAAATGTGCTATAGAAAAAAAACTTTTATTTGATTTGATTTGTTTTGATGTAGAAAACAGACAGATAATCACATGAAAAGCACAACAGCTAAGAAAAAGAAGGACCTGCTGAGTTTATGAAGTAGAAATCTTTCTCATCAATGGTAACAGTTACACTACTGCTCCACTAGAGGGCGAGCTACTTCTCAGAGCAACTCTGGTGAAAACTTTGTTAAAGGGTTAATAGAGGAGCCATGTTGTGATGAATGAATGAAGGCAGAATTTACTTTGAATTTAATGTCTTTGTTTTCCACCAAGCCGAAAGGTAACAATGAGAATAAAGTTGATTCATATTTATTATTACACATATAAGGAGGTTTCCCTTTATCTTCATCCATTCTGTTAATCCAGTAACATTTTGGACTTGAACTCAAACACCAGTTCAGGTGAACAAACCCACGTAAAACACTACAACTGTCTCGATTCACTGCAGAATAATCACATGCAACATAAACCCAAAGAATCACTAGAAGCAGGATCAGGTCTCAGATATTTAAGATTAACAGCAACATGGAATGATTCTATGCTGGGAAGTGACCAGAAAACAACACAGGAAATACAAACAACACAAAAATGAAAATAGTTAATCTGACCTCACATATACTGAGGAAAACCAACACAATCCAGAAGCTGGACAAACTAACAAAAAGACAAAAATAAACTTTAAAGTACAGCAGGAAGCAGTGATAGAACCGTAAAAACACAAAATATAAACATTTCTAAATGCTTTTGTGGCAGGAAGTAGGTGGAGATTTCACCTGCTGGCAGGTAAATACTGGCGAGTCAACACCAGGGGGCGCTCATCATAAACACTGAGGCAAACTGTAGACTGACACCTTTCACAGTAAAGGAGAAATCAAATCAATTATTAAACAAAAGGTTGAGGAAAGATGGCAGAAACAGGAGGATGAAGAAAGAACCGACAGGCGGCTTCACAGAATCCAAAGAAAAGTGTTTAGAGGAGAACAGGAGGAAATAGAAAGGAAGAAACCATTAAATCCAGATTAGGATTTGGTCCTACAGGGTTAAATAGGACTTTATTTAAAATGGGAAAAATCCAACAGGAAAATGTGAGTTTTGTTTTCAAGAAGAGACAATAAAACATGTTTAGTTCTGTTCCAAATATCCTGCTGAGAAAAGAGAATTAGTGTCAAGATTACAAGACAATAAATTACAGTTAAATATACTAGATACTTTGGACACACTTTCTACTTCTGAATATTTTTGTTTTTTAATGAAATACCTTAAGAAGATGACATTTATAGAAAGGATATAGAGAGTTTTTTTTAAATAGTTTTTTGTTCTGTTTGTTTTGGGTTGGGGCTAATATACATTCAGCATCCTGGTCCACTCCATAGATAGACTTGTGCTGGCTGAGCTCAAAAGACTCTTCACTGTTTTATTTTGTCTTTTTCTACCTGTATTTTAAAGTACAATTCATCTTCTATTTCTTTTTTTTGTTTTTAGTTTTTCTGTTTTTAGCTCTGAGGATCATCGTTGGTGCGTTTGGGTCCCTTTTGGTGTGACTGTGCCCCGATCAACACAAATAGGTGAATGGAAATCCAACAAGTGAGTGACTTTATCTGTGTTTGTCGTGGTTTCTTTGTTTTGGAGCCTCCCATCCAGGACTGTACCTGCCGGTAAGCCTCAGCAGCTGAGTTTATTTTGTCATTTTATTTATTTATTTAACCTGTGTCTGTCCTTACTGTGATTTCCTGGGTGGAAGTCCCAGGTGGCGCTGTTGAGTAAAAAACAAATCTAAATGCATATTTTAACCACTGATTGCCACACGTATAATAAACACTTTAATCAAATCAATCTAAAACAAACTAAACACTGCATACCTGTTTCAGATAAGCAAACACTCAAAGTCAAATCCAAAGGATCTGGTGCAGCCCTACAAAACAAAACCTACAATACAATCTGATTAAAAACACAAATAACGCATATCTGCAGCGTCAAATAGCCACAGGCCCAGATAATGCTGCTGCTACTGGAACATCACTAATTATGTGGCCCTGCATAAAAACATCAAAACAAGTTAAATTATTAAAACAATCAGTTTAAAATGGTTTTCCTCCAAACTTACCACACTTCAAGTAAAAGTAGAAAAGTGTTTGGTAAAAAGTTTACTCAAGTACTGAGTAACTGATCAAATTATCAATCATTTAATATTTGAAAATTACATAAACAGATCAAAATATAAAGTTAATTCATTTAAGTAACAAAACAAATAGCAAAATCGGTCAAGAGAAAATGTTTCCAAACCAGTTTA